AATAATAGTATAATACTGTAAAATGAAAATAAACACTTAGCAGAGGTTTAAGAAAATCCTAAAGCATGTTTTTGCATCTCTTTAACCATCCTCTTCCCAAAAGTAAGATCACTTTGAAGCCAAGGGTGGAGATATTCAAATAATGGGTGCTTTCTTCGGCATGTGACATTTAGAGAGGTGCCAAATCTGAATGGCTGTTGAACCCCATGTTTTTTTTACATACCTTTTATATAGGCAAGAAACTGGGTTGTTTTATGTCAGTCAGGCATTTCAGAAACATGTGGATAATAACCACAACAAATATTTTTCAAGATGCCTTCCTGTTAAAAGTTTAGACTTTTGAACAACTCCAACACTTTGATTCAATCGACCTTTGTCTCTTTGGGGAAAATGTGTATTAATATACTTCCATCATGACCTCATCACACAGCGTGTACGTTCCCAGGGCTTTTGGATTATTTCCTTTACGTTGCAGCGGCCGCTCCTCCCTGCGGAAGCTGCCGAGGAAGCCATTGTTTATGTTTCTCCAAATATCCACAGGGACCTATTTTTAGAGATTTGGCTCATGTCTTTATCCATTTATAGTTTGAGTCTTTGTCCTGCACGCTGCTGCTGCTGAACTTCCACGAGCGGCTCAGCACCTTATTTGTGTTGGAACTGGCTCACAGTGGTTCTCTGAAAATTAGGCGAACAACCATTCTCATGTTAATCTTATCAGGAAGCAGGCGCCTCTTTTCACATCAATAATGTCATCTGTTTACATTCTTCTCTTTCTACAGTCTTGCTTTTATGTTACTTGTATAGCTGGGATTTGTAGTGTTTAGAAATAGAGTGCCACAGTGACGCGTCCTAAAACCCAGTGAGTTAGCATCTTACCACTTCCTGTTCCTTCGACAAAAACCAATGCAATCTCTCCGTAGGATTTAGGAAAATAGCTGGAAGTAAGGTCTGTGGTTGAGACACATTTAAGAGACAGATCAGGTTTTGTTCTACGACATTAAATCCATCAGCAGTGCACTCAGAAATACATAAATGTAAGTGACCGTAAATGTAGAAATATATTAAAGATATATAATAACGTGTGTTCTGTTTTATTTTCGACTTTTATTTATTTATTTAAACATTCATGTATTTATGCATTTATTATTTTATTTATTTATTTATGTATTTATTTCCTCATTTATTTATCCCTGTATTTATTTATTTATTTCCGTATTTATTTATTTATTCCTGTATTTATTTATTTATGTATTTATTTCTTCATTTATTTCTTCATTTATTTATTTATTTCCGTATTTATTTATTTATTCCTGTATTTCTTCATACATTTATTTACACATTTTTTTAATTTATTTTTTTCTACTTATGTCAAGTTCTGTCCTCTTCCATAAACACTCCTGCTAAGTTTGTTTTCCCTGTTCTGCTTGAAAGCAAGTCCCTGCCTCCTGCAAACTGTTCAAACAAACGCTTCAACTTGTACCATTTAGAATCTGTAGTTTTGAATATGGATCTTAAGTTGGCGTGACGTTGAAGCAGCGATCCTGCTGCAGTTTCTTTATAGCATAACGTTAGCATTTTGCTTCTGGCGACTAGACTTATGATTCGAAAAGGATATAAGTAGGGTAGACATGTGGAGATTATCCGGCTGAACAAAACGTGACCCGTCTCTTAAATGTGTTTCAACCACAGACCTGATTTCCAGCTATTTTCCCAGATCCTATGGAGATTGCATTGCGTTTTTGTCGAAGGAACCAGAAGGAGTTTACTTCCGGGTTTTAGGACGCGTCACTGCGGCTCTCTACAGACCATATGTTTAATACGCTCATAATGATTTTGTTTTCAGGGTAAGCAATTACATTACACATGAGATTTCGTAACAGCTTGCAGAGAATGAACTCCTGCAGCCACAAAAAAATCACTATACTTAAAAAAAACATTGAGTTATGTTCTGTTATATTCCCATAGGATCATTTAGTAACAGTTTATTTATTTAGCCTGATATCACACATCTGTCTCAGGGGGCTTCACAGTTTGTACAGAATATTACACCCTTTGTCCTGACACCGTCGCATCGGACGTGTTATTTTATCTTTATTGTACATTTTACTTGAATTTCTTCTGTTTATTTATCTATTATTCCACATTATTTCCTCCCATGTTATATCATATATCACATTTAAAACATTTTCTAAAATGGAACAACAAAAACCAATTTCCCCTGAAATATGAAAGTATTTCTGATTCTGATTTCCTCCTCTGAGCTTAAGCCACAACATCGTTTGAATAAAACATTGTGGAAGTCAGACGTGCTCAGAAATATAAAGGAACTCCTGGTGTGTTTAACATTGCATCCATTCAGCTCCAAAACATCCACATAAATCCTTCACTCTGTTATTTCTCCCTCATAAATCACTCAGCCTTTCTTCTGAAGTCTAATTGAAATCCCCTCATTGTATCAACCCTGCTGTAACTCAACATATCCTCTGTTTGTCCACCTGTTCTGTCCTCAGGTCATGAAAGTCATTCTGTTTGTTGTCCATGTTCTCTCATTTCTGTGTCTAATGGTGACACACATTAAACCTGTTTTCTTCACGTCATGCTCTGCTCTTGTGTGCTCTTCATGCCGCCTCCTTGTCAAACCCTTAGTGTGTTCTGTGTGTCTCTAAAGGCGCTAAGACTAAGAAGAAGGTAGAGCAGCTTCACTCAGAGAATAAAACTCCTGGATAGTGGGAACGTTTGGTTCTGATGCTGAACTAAACCAGGCCGTTAGATTAGCTGATCACACTACTAGTTAACCCTCCTGTCGTGTTCGGGTCCAATCTGACTTTCACCAATCATACATATTGTGTTTTACATTTGATTGCTTCAAGGCCTTATGATGTGCTCCTAAAATGTGAACATATACAATTGCTGATCTCAACTTTCATTGAATTGTGAGTTGTTTAGTGAACTTTGTAACACCTATCGTGTTCCCAGTCATACATAATGAATAGGTAACCCTAGATTATGTCCATCCATCAGATGGTACACACATCGGCAAAATACATTATCAGTGTCTATTCTTTGTATATTCACTGCAGCTTTTCATGTAAACCAGTTGTGTTAATGTAAGGACATTTAAAACAGAACGGGAACACCAAAGTAAGGAGGGAGAAACGAACACAACAGGAAGTTAAAGAAAACAAAAACATATGATAAACATCTCTACCTTCAAGTGCCTGGTTAAGTGCAGCGTCAGATCACATCTTAAAGTCCTGTGGTGTCTTAATCAGTCCGTGTCCTTCTCTGTGTTTGTGATCATGTGCTGGTGAGCTGTGTTAGCGCTTCGTGCAGATAGCTTTCTAATAAAGTTCATTTCATTTACAAATAGATAATAAATAAAGGTACAATCAAAAGATATAATGGAGAGACGAGACACCCTGAAGCTGTAAGAAAAGGGTCCATGACACCTAACAGAAAGTATTTCAATATATTTACTTAACCATAGAATTGGAGAGGGTTTGTGTATTATAACAAGCCACTTCAGTCCAAGCATTGGGAATATTTGAAGAGATGATATCAATAATTGCTGCTCACTAACAATACATTGTTAATAAAGTTGTTTTTAGCATCTATAGAAAAATCAATGTTTAAATCCCTAAGAATAAAACAATTTGTAGTTTTTCTTTACGCAATATAAGAGTTCATCCAGTTCAATCCCCTTTTTTCTAAAATATGGAAAAATATTGTGGTCGTCCAACACAAACAGGAAGTGCCTGCTGATTTGCTTAAAAGACTTGAGGAGACCCTGCCCTTTAGAGCGAAAAACGGTGGGACAGTCCGTCTCAGAAACGTGTTTACCCTCCATCACACAGATCACATCTGCTGTTACACTCTCCATGTGTTCCTCAACACGCCTAATTACAGATCAAATACTGTCATTCATTCATTGTGTTTCCCACGGCTTGTTGGACTTGCTTTCCTAGATTTTAAAACAGGCATAAATAGAAATGTGTTATTGAAAAGGCTTTATTTATTTCACTCAATAATAGACATTTCTTTCAGTGAGCTTCTGTAAAACCTTCTTGTTCTTAGTATTAAAAACTCCATTTAAAAAACGTTATTGTTAAAACAGTAATTGAGCTATGTTTTTTTTCAATCAGCCATGTTGGGCCCTTGACTTTAAGGGAATTGAGCGTGACAGTCCTTTTTAAAATAAGTCATTTTAGATGTTTAACCTTGATTCACTCAAACACCTGTACTCATCCGTAGGTCAGATTAATGGCTGCTGAATTTGTTTTAGTCCTTGCTTTGCTGTCCTCTCCTCATGCAGCCGGTGGGCTTCCTCTGGCTGTTGTTAGCGTCTGTAGCTTCTCAGGCTGTTGTTGTT